GCTGTGGAGATGGGAGCCCTGGACCACCCGCTGGACACGACGCCTGCGGGGGGGGCTGCTTCAGCCGGAGGTCAGCGTTCTCGGGAAAGCGCGCGCCATCGCCCGTTCCTCCACCTTTGGTCGGGTATCCGCCGCTGAGTTGCGTGCCAGGCATGAGCAATTGGCCAAGCAGTCGGAGTTCCTCCCCGCGCGTTTACTATGTATCGCCAACCTGTCGGAGGAAGATCGACTATTTGAGCCAAGAGATCTTGGGCTTGTAGATGCCCGAAAAGAACCATTCCGCTGAACTGGAGAACATGCACTCCTTTTTGGAAAGACAAAGAATTAGGAAGGCAGGGGCCTCAAGTGGTAGGGTACGGATATCTGAGCATTATTCGTTGTGCGGTGATGGATTCGAAACGGTGAAAACGGTAGGGGGGTTATCGTTTCAATAAGGACTTACTTCATGTTGTAGTAAGGGGGGCTATGAAGGAGGTTTTGCCTTCTAATGATAGAAGTGCAAGACCTCGAAAATACAAGTCAAAGCTCTCGCAGCTATCCTTCTGAGAGCCGGATTACTACCGTGTCCTGTTTATTTTATTTTGTGTTTCATGACCCTGGCTTATTACTCATGCACGACGTGCGTAAGTAACCTTATGCTCTGTCATGCCGCGACAATGTGAGACCTTGCTATAACTCTAGCATGACGGGTTGGGGAAATCGTCCTGGGTAGTTGGGAACCGTCTGGTTGACATGACCCACGCTACGCGAAGTTCAAATGTCGTGTCGACATATGTGGACTCCTAAACACCGGTATGATTGATGCATATGTCTGTGTACATGTATAGTTTGCGCTCTGGGGCGGGCAAACATCCCATCCCCCGTGACTCTTGCTCTTTTTTTTTTTTTTTTTTGCGACCTCTTTCGTATATTCGGAGCGGAACAGCAATGGCGTGAGAGTAGGGGAAAAGACCACACACGCACACCAATCCGAACAACAGAAGAGAGTAGATGCGTCAATTCGATGATTCGCGGTCAGGTCCAAAGGTATCATGAAGCTCGCGGCCGGACCAACCTGGTTAAAACAAAAAGCTCTTTCCTTTCCCCGGATTTCCTTTCGACGAAGACAGGCCAGCATCCCATCTATTCCAAAAAAACAAATTTGAAAAAAAAAAAAAAAAAAAGCCAAACTCCTAGATCGCCAGGTTTCGGGGTTTCCGCGTGCGCTGGCCCTAAACACCACATTATGGCGGCTTTGACCGCTTCATCATCCCCAACTCCTTGCCCCTCCCGATTGCGGACCCACCGGCTGGCTTCCGCCATGGTATCATGTCGTCCTGCCCAGCAGTTTCAGTTCAAATATCATTGTGCGCTCTGCGACCTCGACCGGTTGGCGTGTCGGTTAGGCCGTGGAGTGCTGTTCCCCTCCCGCCCCGCGCCGGCTCGCACCGCATCGGTATAGCTGGGTATCGGAGGGTGCGAAGATCCGCCACCGCCGGTCGTAGAAGCGCCCCGACTGCGGTTGAGAACCCGTATCAACGGCGTGTTCTCGCTGTCCGTGCTGTTCCGGCGACTGCCGGCCTCTGAGTTGTCGGGGCTCGTATATTCAGGTGGCGGGTTCAAAGCGTCTTGAAGCCCGAGCCCTACGACGCTTTGCCCCTCGTGCCCGCGATTGCTGCTGCTGCTTGGCTCGCCGCCCTCGTCGTCGGGCACGAAGTGTGTCAGAGAGATGTCAGTCGGGCTTCTTACGGGACCGGGGCTCCTCGGTGGTAGTACTCTGAAGTTTCCGCTTCTTGTCCGCCCATGCTGAGGTCCTAGGCTAGCTTGCGAGTAGGGCTGGGTCTGCGAGGGCGCTCGCTGGTGCCCGCCACCCGTGTACCCGTCCTTGCGACCGGCCTCCAGCAGGATGTCTCCCTGCTCGGAGCCGTAGGGCGGCGGCGGCGCGAGGCTGCCCGTCATCGGGGCAAGTCCCCACTTCTTGACGTTGGCCTCGATGAAGACGAAGCCGGCCTGGCCAAAGTTGACGTGCACAATGCAGGGACCGTTGGCCCCGACGGCGGGGAAGAAGTTTTGGGACTTGACCCCGTGGATGACATCTTCCAGTTTCTTGCCGTTCCGGGTGAAGAAGATGGTGCCGGTTCGGGGACGGTAACCGACACCGATTACGTCGCCCTGGACATACTGAGGGCCGTAGGGCGTCGCCGCGAAGGGCTGGTTGCAACGCCGCTGGCCCGCTGACAGATACGCTGCGGAATGTTTGTGGAAGCCTAGACGGTTAGCGTCGCGCGGTTGTGTCGGAGGCGGGAATGACATACCAGGCAGCCTGAACAAGGGGTAGGGCTTCGTGGCCATGCCGATACTGATCAAGGTATTTTCGGGCTTATCGTATATCTTTGCCTCCCAGTAGTAGACCTCGTTCTGCTTGGGCACGGGCAGGTTGCTCATGACGGTGCATTCGGAGTCGAAGAACTCAATCTCGGTGCGGCCTTCGACGAAGCAGTTGGCGATTTCCAATTCCGGCTCGAACTCCCACGCAGAGACACCCTTTTCTTGGATGGCAAGGTATTGCGACAGAGAGATGTCGGTCTGGAGGGACTCGGGCGGATTCGCTTGGATGAATGCTGCACTCGGGTCAGTGGCCTGTGAATATGGCGGCATCGAAATCGAAGTGTAGGCCTACCTTTTGCCCTGAGGTACTCGGTCCTCTGCATGTCATCCATGGACTCGAGGGCCTCGGCCTCCTCCTTGGCGAAGGCCTGCTCATCGTCGTACTCGCCGGGTCGTCCGATGCGATCGAGGAAGATACGGCCGCTGGCCGTGTACCTGAAGAAGTAGATGACGAGGAAAATGAGGGCGATAAGCACGGCGGAGCCAAAAGACGACAACAATCCGATGACGACTCCATTCAGCGCCGATGAGGGGGTTGTCGGTGCCATGACGGGCAGGCAGCGACGTTTGTCGATTCAATCCGGTCAGTCGATCGGTCGGTGGGAGGCGGGGAGGATGGAGGTTAGTAAGGTGGGATCGGTCGAACGAGGGGAGGGACGGCTGGCGTCACCGCCGCGAAAGCAGCATTCGCGGGCGAATCGACAGTGGTGAAAGCAGGCGAAGAGAAGGGCAGAACGATAGCCGCTGTGAAAGACGAAAAGGGCGTCAAAAGGAAAGTCGTCGTCGAATGACAGACAGACAGACAGACAGACTATGCAAAGGCGAAAGTCGAGTCGCTAGGGTGGGTGAATTGAAGCAGAAGGCAAGAGGGCGGTCGTCGATGGGGTTTGCAGTGGATTGGATCAGATCAGGATGAGGTGAGACGAGAGGGTTGTCGTCGTCGTCGAGGCCTTGGATCCTTCCCGTCTGTGGTCGGTCGATTGGGGCGGGCGGTTACAGTATGGCAGGTGCCGCGACGACGGTGGGCGAAAGTATAGGCAAGCTGGGGGGGAGCAGTGCGAGAGGTTTCGTTGCCACAGTTCTCCGACCGACCCAAGTCGCAGGTGGATGGGGCGTGGGCGGACTGGCCGGCCTGGTGCTTGCAGTGAGTGTGCTCTTGGATGTCGCTACGGGCGCTATCTTGCCTGCCTAGGCAGGGAGCGATGGGTACCAGGGTAGGTAGGTAGGTAGGTAGGTGTGCCTCAAGGGGGTTCAATGGACCGGGGTGAGGGATCTGGTATTGGTGCAGTGCAATGCAGGGCGTCGTAGAGTATTGAGACGAAGGGGAAGCGGGGAAGAGGATACGAGGGAGCAACAAAAGAATACGGTATGGAAAGAAAAAAACAAAGCAAAAAAAATAAATATGAGTAAGGACTAGCGGCACAAGTAAGCCGGTCGTTGGATAGGTGATTGCATGTACTGGGTTCGTTGTTCGTCGGGCGGGGGACGTACGTAGTTTAGAGATTGAGGAGGGAGCCAAGGTTCAAGACAGGATCATGGATTGGATGGACGGGCAGAGTCGAAAATAAAATAGAGAGAGAGAGAGAGAGAGAGAGAGAGAGAGAGAGAGAGAGAGAGAGAGAGAGAGAGAGAGAGAGAAAACTGAGAAGCAAAAAGAAAGTCAAGCAGGGACTCGGGCAACTGTACAGGACGTAGGTCAGTTGATATGTCTAGCTAGCGCTTGGTAAGGTTGGTTGTGCAGGTTAGGTGGTGTTAGGTACATAGGGGGGGGTGATGGTGGGGAGAAGGTGCCACAGACTGGAGAATGCAAAAGAGGGATAAGGAGGAAAACGGAGGGTGGCAGAAGGTCGTCGTCGTCGTCGTCGTCGTCTATAGCGTTGCCGTCAGGTTCCTGGATCTGCATTTTGCATCTGCATCTGCACCTGCATCAGCATCAGCATCGCGGCAGGTCACTTGCAACGTCAACGTTGTGACGGTGGCACTGGGCACACTACACTGTCTGTCCACTGTCCACTGTCCAATGTCCACACTGACGAACGAGACGGACGGGCGCGGCACGGCGTCCAAGGGTACCCGGAAGGCCAGGGGTTCCGATACATGTGAACTGGGTTGGACACGTTAGAGCTTCCTGGCTGTTTTCGGTGCCCCGTCCTAACAGGTGGCGGGGAATGTTGCGTACTGCCGGCCCTTCCCTTCTTCCTCCTGCCCTGTTCCCAGGCCTGGATGACGCTGATTGATGGGTCATCAGCTCCAGTTCCAGCTCCATTCTGCCACTTCTAACGCCAGTCTTTTCCTGTTTGCCGGACCCCGAGGCGTCATTCGCACCCTCCCTCTCGGTGCGCTACGTACTTGTAGTGTAGTTGTAGTCTTAGGTAGTCTAGTCTAGTGTAGTGTACTGTGCTGTATTTCCGTCCGTATCTAGGAATCCCATTAGGACAGACGAAAGGTACCCCCGCCCGCACCACGCCGAAAGGGCCCGGTGAACATGCTGCTGTTCGACCGCCGGATGCATTCGAGCCGCCGGCGAGAGACGGAGACTGGATGAAGACTGGACGGAGAGAGCAGTCTCTTGAGATCGGCCCCCCCTCTCCCTCTCCCTCTTCCTTCCTCTCTCCCTCTCTCTCTCTTTCTCTGTTTCCTCGCTCGCAGCGTGCGGGCCAATTGTCCAGCCCGGGTCAACCATCGCATGACTTTTAGTTTTTTAAGCAACCATTTGCCATTCCGGGTCCGTCGCAAGCCCCCTTTTCTCCTCCCCGTGCCAAAGCCATCTTCTGCTAGCAGGCAACCCCCAAAACATACCGTACCCACCCACGGAGACAGCTCACACGAGGTCCAACGGGAACGGGGACAACGGTGTAAGAAAGAAAGAAAGCCCACGCATGAACAACACCCGCCTGGACGGTTAAGCCTAAGCCATGCCGGGCCAAGGACACACACGCCCCACTGCCTGCTCTGGAATGGTAGGGTGGCTGGCAACCCTGGCGCAGCCCACTGGTTTCAATCCCTCCTGGGGTTTCATGCTCTGGCTCGATTCTTTGTCCAACGCCCCCCCTTTCCTCGACGACCGTGCTCAGCCGTAATCCCTTGTTCATCCTCGACATCCTACTATGTATTGTGTCGTCTGCCGCAACCAATAATGCCATTCTTTGTTTGCGTCCGGAACACTGCAGCTCGAAAATAATTCCTCGGAAGGGGGTTCAGTTCTGTCGGCCGCGGCCGTCCATTGAGACAATCCCCTCCCCCCCTGTTATCAAATAATAGCCAGCATCATGCCCCGAAATCCACACTTTCTGAGAGGGACGTTTGATGCTATCGGTAATTGACTCAGCTCTCTCTCTGTCTGTCGTTCCTCTCGACGCCTGGAAACATCTCCCACGCGCCGAATGACCAGGTCGTCTCCGTAATTTTTCGTCTTTTCAGATCCCGTCGTCAAAGTGCTACATTCCCAAACCCCCTCGCCGTGTCTATGTCCGTGTTCGGGTCCAAGAGGGTCCGTTCCTCCAGCCTACCTAGGTAGCCAGAGGGGAAGAAAAAGAAGACCGCGAGCGGCCCGTCAGTCCTCGTGGCCAAATCCGTCGACTAATCAGCTACGGGCGCTGTCAAAGTGTCAGTCCGTCGACGGCGCCCGACGGCGCCCTGCCGCACAGTCGCGAATCGGACGGGGAGGCAACGGACGGTAGCGCCCATCTGCGATGCGACTCAGCACGCCAACCTTGTCCCCGCCGCCTATCTAGGTATATCAGGGCCCTGCCTGCTCCACTTTGCTCCGATGCGGGAGATCGGCCGGACGCATGCTGCTCCACTCCGGAACCCGGGTCTCATTCCAGGCCCGCTCAGCCGGCGCCACGTGAGGGCGAGATGAGTGTGTGGGCCACGATCAACAGTCCGTCGTTGATTAGGTGCAGGATTGATTCACCGCCGCGCATCATGTTCTTCAACAGCACCCAGAACAGCCATCACTCATCCTGGCAATGTGTGGTTTAGCGTCAGTTGAAGATAAGTCGTAGATGGGTAGCGAGGTCTACCAGCCTGTTATGTTTTCTCCTCTGCCTCTGAGTCACCCACGATGAAAATCCAAACATGCTTCTATTACTCATGAATCACGGCGTCACGAAACCTCCGCTTGCCGGCAAGGAAACCAGCTTCACAGCATCAAACAAGTCACAAAAAGTGTCCAAGGATGCGTCAAGAATATAGGAAGGGCGACTGTTGAAATGGATACTGGAGTTGCCTCTAGTCCACACGACGATACAGTCAGTTTCAATCCTATCTCCGTAATCCATTCACTGCCACAACTCTCGCTACCCGTCTGTAAACAAAACCTTGACTGGATTCACCAAACCCATCTCCGATGTCATCCTTGACATATTAGAAGGCCGACTTTTCCTGGTGTTTCAACTGCAACAGTCCTCCAAAGACAATACATTTTCTCATCATCAACAGTGGCCTCCTAAATCTTTGACACATAACTGCCCTGCGAGAACCACAATCAGGCTTTCCAACGACAACACCCTCTACGCCGCTCCGAACATGCACTGGAAAAACAAGGAACGACGCAGTACCTGCCGTCACTTCAGACTGGGAAAGTGTGTATACTGGCAGACCCCAGAGAAATGTGATTTCCCTCATCGCCCCAAGCATGCGCCGCGTCTCCCGCCCCCCGTCGAGAACGCACCTCCCACTCCTCCACTGCACCGTCCTCCACATCTGTATCCCGAGGAGGCAACCGCCTTTGTGCCTGGCTATCAGCAGCACGCCCCCATCCCCGCAGCCCATTCATTTGTCCAGTGGCCAGTCATCGGTCCGAGCTCGGACAATGATTACTATGGATATCACGGATATGGCTCTCAGTACTTGGGTTATCACTTGAACAACATCAACCCTTACGGACAGGTCGATTTCCAGCCCTACGAGCATCCGGTGTCATCGTTGTTTGGGTACCCCTCTGCCGAACATCACCCAGTCCGTGCCGATTGCTATCCGGAGCATGGGATCTACTACTACAACCCAATGGCGCCCGTTTATCCGGAAAGCTACGTCATACCCATGGACATCCAGTTTAGCAACGATCCTCCCCAGGCCGATCAATACCAGTATCAGCAGCTCTACCAGCTCCCGGACACCCCTCCAGAGTCAAGGTCAATCTCACCCCCCACGCCCCGCTTCATCGCTTACTCTACACTGCCCGTGACAGACGGATACGCCGCCCCTCCTTTAGCAGAGGTGGAGCAAGATGCCCTCGTCGATCCGGAGAAGCTGAAGCGAGAGCGAAGCAAGGTCTGCTGGTACGGCGATGATTGCAAGAGACCCAACTGCTATTACCGCCACGGTGTTGTAGAGGACAAGGTCGAGGGGGAATGTTCTGGTCCCTCTTCCTCCTCCTCCTGTCCCTCTTCCACTCTAGTTTCTGCTGAATCTTTGGATCCCGATATCGATTCCTCCAACACTGTTTCGAGGAAGGGCTAGGACAAGTGGAATGCGAAGAGATACCAGGCCCCGGAGAACTCTTCCGACTAAGGGTCCTCAAACGAGGTGAAGAAGATGGCCGAAGACAAGCCTGCGGCCGAAGACGAGGCTTCTGAGGAGAAGTCCCCCAACGGTCAGGAGCCCGGCAACTCCACATGTGCCCCGCTTGTGGTAAAAGACACATCGTCGTCGACCCAAGGGACACTGCTGCCTGAGTCGGAATTGTACGCACGGAGAGGTGCTCTAATCTTTACATACACATTGTCTGGCGTTTGATAGACACGTACGGAGAGGCGGCGTGCTGTCTTCAAATGAAGTTCTGGGGTTTGGGGCTCACAAATCCCACCACGACTTAATAACGACTTAATGGTGCTAGGGATTGTGGTGTTACACTGGGTTATTTTGCATTTACAAGAATAATGACAAGGTTGATAGCTGAAAGATTTTTATTTTTATTTTTATCAAACCCCCGTCTTCCTGCCTGTCTACCTGTTAATCCTCCGTATAATTCAATGCTCTTGTTCTGCTAGCTGACCATATAGTGAGCGAGCTAGGAAAATCCGAAGGTGTAATAGTCAAGTCTTCACACATTGATCCCTCATCCAAAGGGATAAAAAGAAGAAAAAAGAAATAAAACTTTGTGATCTGGTGATAGATGATGCAGAGACGGGGGCTATTCAAGAAAAGAATATCCCTCTCCGAGAGGGGGGAGAGAGGAGAGACAAAGGAGGGGTGAAGGAGATGGGGAAGAAGATGAAGAAAAGTAAGGGAAAGGGTGTGATATTTGTAGAGGTTGGAATTAGTTCTGGCTGATTCTGTCGTTAGGGGTCCTTCATAGCGAAGGGTTGCAACTTACGAGAGGTTAAAGAGGGAAGCCATGACAGTCAAGGGTGAATGTACGATGCTGCCATGGCAAGTCGTCAGCCATCCAGTGGGATAATGAAACAAATTCTCACGCCTGGCTTTCCGTAAGGTACGGAGAAAGCGTTCAAAAAGCAGAAAGGCTGATGCTGAACTACAAGCAAGATGCATTGATACTGTGCTTCCGATGCCAACGCTCTACACCCGACTCCATGCGCCAAGGGACGTCCTCGAAGCATCCGCGGGGTAATCTGTACTGTACAACAATCCTCACCCCATTCCATGCGGATCCCATGCCACAACACCACTACACCAACAGGGGTTGCTGTTCTTCTGCTGGTCGCTGGCCTCCTTCATGAGGCTCGCTCTGAGCCTCGGTTCCGTTCCCCGTTTCGTTTTGTCCTGCATTCTCAGTCATATCGTCGTTGTTTTGAGTTTCGGTGTTCTCAGTGTTTGCCGCGGCCTCTGCGGCAGCTGTGGCAGCAGCGTCTGCCTCCTCCTGTCTCTGACGTTCCGCGCGTGCCTCAGCCTCAAGATGAGCGATGTGGCGTTCAGCAACGCCTGGGGCGATGCTAGCAAGAAATAGAAGACCTGCTCTCTCGAGCCGGCGTGCCTGATCCATCAGCCAGTTTGCATTGTTGCGTCTCTGCTGAGCCACAAGTCTGGCTGCAGCGCGTGTCGGATCTGGTTGACCGTTAGGGCCAACAACCGGTTGGTCGTTGGGAGGATGGACAGGTTCGTTGGCGTCATTCGGAGCAGCAAGGGGGATCAGATTCTCCATATGGCGTCTGACCGGTCCCACAGCCTGGTCGAAGTAGTTGTTGAGCAGTCCCGTATTCAGGATGAAGATGCTGGCGGCAATGACTACTACAGTGAACCATCTCGACCAGCTAGCATTGGGCGAAGTGAACCACCACACAAAAAGGGCAAGCCTAACGACAAGCCAGAAGTGCGGCCACACTTGCGCAATCAGTGGAGCGATGCCTGGGTTATTGGGATGGATGGGCACGGCGGCCACCGGTGGTTGCCCTTGTTGCTGAAGCAATGGCTGCGCTTCCGGCTGAGGCTGGGCCAGGCCTTGAGCCTCGGCCTGTTGGGCCGGCTGCGGCCCTTCTTGGTGAGCCGGCGGCGTCACGAAAGCTGACGGCCAGGTCATGTGCTGAGGGCGAGCTCTCATTCTAGCCAGGGCCGACGCCGTCTGCTGAAGAGCCGAGGTGGTGTGCGCCGGCCTCATCGCAGAAGGGGTATAGTAGGAGTCCGTCGCGTTGTTGATCAGGATGGCTCGAGGACCCTGAGGCGATGATAGGATATAGACCTCGGGACCAGACTGCGTCTGTCGCTGAGCATTCGTAGAGTGTCCGCTGCCGCCACTCACTGAGCGCGCGCTTGGATCAGGCGTGGGCCGTCTGCTGCTGGCTCTTGAACCGAGCGTCGGGTAGTATGGGGTTGTAACGCCCACAGAAGAGCTGCCGTTGGCGAGAGAAGTGCTCGAGGCACTCCTTTGCATGGCGTTTGTCAAGGCCAGAGTTGCCTGGGTGCTATCGGCAGCTCGGAGGATGTTTTGCACATCAAAAGTCGACAAAGCCGTAGTGGTACTTTGACCACCGGGTTGATGGACGTTCAACGATCCGCCAAGGAAATGCTCATTAACCGTCACACGGTACGGCTGGCCATTTGGCATCAGGCCTTCCCTTACGTACGTTTGTACGTCTGGGTTGTTGAGCGGGCTGGCCCTTCCACGCGTGGGATCGGCAGGGTTTGGAGCCGCACCGGGCGTATCGCCGGCACCATGCATGCCCATCGAGGCTCTCATGGCTTGGTTCTGGTTGATCTGCTGATTCACCATGGCCCTATTCATGGCCTCGCGTTGCAGTCCGTTCATCCACGCTGCCATACTCTGGTGCTGTTGCGCCTGTATCTGCTGGAGCTGCTGCGGCGTCAGGTTGGACGGTATCTGGGACGGCGTCACGAACGGGAGGGGATTGTTTGCTGCCGGGTGCAGCGGAGTTCGTCTTGTAAAGGCCGCCGCTGTGGGCTGGCTGCCATGGTGATGTGTGTGGTGAGGCTGACCAAACGCATGATGAAAATGAGCATTCGGTGGCGCCGGGCTCGTTCCTCTAGCGACTGCCGGTGTCGGGGTCGTGGAGGGTTGGGGTTCGGCGACATCTCGGAGCACAAGGTGAATCGTCTGCTGGTCGGTGGTGCGGATCTGTGATTAAGTCAATCAGTGACATGAATCTAATAGAAGGGGGGGGGGGGGACGCACGACTCCCTCGCCGATGACGCTAAGGAGAGTCTCTCCATCCAGCTGTAGTACACGCCCGCGGTAGATCAGTCGCTGCTGAGAATCGCTCGGTTTCAGCGGAAGAGCTTGGCGGATTTTTTCCTTGAGCTGCTTGACCGTCGTCGTGACGGCAAGGCCAGGAAATACCAAGGGCCGGCTAGAGTTCGCTGCGGTCGATGGCGACAGCACCTGCAGGTTTACGGACAGGTGGTCAGAAGCAGCCTCTGGCGCAGGGTGCGCAGTCGAAGACGAGCCTTCAGAGGCCATGGTGAGGCCTATCGGTCATGCCACGCGGAGGGCAGCGCGGCAGGTTCGTCGGAGAGTTTGCGAAAGACAGATGGTTGTAGTTGCGCAAGGACACGATGCTCATGTCACCGTGTCGTTTGTAACGTGGAAATTTAGGACATGTGTTGCTCCCCGACTGACTGCAGACTGTAGTGTAGCTCAGGTACGAGACCCCCTGGCCTCACCAAAAACGTGGGCACGTAACTTGTCCCCGGGGAGCTGGAAGGCCCGATCCATGCACGTCGTCCCGATTGGGCGGGTTGTGTCAGGCTGATTATATAAGCTCTGTGATGGGACGGACAGTACCTATCATAGATATCCTACCCTCTGATTGTTCGCCAAGACCAAGCACCTTGGGTTAAATCAGTATGAGCAACTTGGCAAGGTCCCCCATCCTGCACACAACGTCCAATTTAGGATACGGTGCAGGGTGCTGGAACATTCATTTGGGTGCATAAAAAAACAGGTTATCAGCACGACCGAATCTAGTGTGGAAATAAATATGGTAGCAAGCGCATTCATTCCAGGGAAGAGTCCGTCAAGCATGCAAAGCACCTACGGCAATGTAAGTCATACGCTCGGGTAATACTTACACGGAAACCGCCATGGGTCGAAAACAATACCGGGAGGGTAGTAAGAAGGTGGAGGAGTTAGATGTATAGGGTTTGCCTGTATATGGACCTGTCCTAGGAGATAAGACAGAAGCCATGTCAAGCTTGCTGAGCACAGTCTTGGCAACGCCCGCTGTGACCATGACCAAGGCAATGTTCCGGGTTAAGCATATGTGGCAAATTTATTTGAATGTCTTCTTTGAATATATATGAAAGCCCGAGGGACAATGAGTCTGCTGAACTCAAGATAGAAGTAGTTAATCAGTTCGATAGTAATCCCTGATTACCGAAGACAACTTACGCAACGGTAGCACCAACAGCCTGTTCGTATTTCGAGCAGCCCAAAACCCGGAGGATGAGAGGTGTGTTGACCGATTTGTATCACAGCAGGATTGGCTTGCAACACCTCGGTCAAACTTTTGGAGAAATCTACCAAGGCTGGAGCTGACCTTTCCGCCGCCTCCGACGGAGAAGCAGAACCCGTTGGAACCAACCACGCGGGCCAAAAGTTGGGCCAACCTAGATTAAGAGCTGAGCTATTGGCTGAGAACCGTGCCGAGTAAGTTTATCAAATATAATGCAAGAAAGGGAACAAGTTTTCAAAACAGATTCGGCTCAGTATTAGTAGGTATGTCAATATCTGTCTCTCGATCCGGCGAGGTGGTTCCGGACGAAGAACGTTACATTTGCGCCTAAAGTGGTCTAGCGCTCACATGGTTCGTGCTGCGTCATCCCACAGCTGTCGCTGACCTGCAAGCTCTCGGCGCAAGACGGTCGCTCGACCCATCTGTCATCGCCTGGCCATTGCCGTCCCTGCATACCCAGCAAAAGTTCGAGGCTCGAATCTTTCACCTCGACTGAGGTCTCTCAAGCATCATGGCCACGCTGTACGCTCGCCAGAGCCAGCTAAGGGCTGCCAAATTCTTCTCCACCCCGGGGCCCTACGCCTCGACCAGATT